AACAGCTAGAGTATCACTTGGTTGTTGAGACATCGCGTGCAAGAGTCATGTAATGGGGGAAGTTGATGGGGTCTTGGCACCGTGAGCCACTCGCTATACTGAGCCACTCGCTATACAGATACGTTATATAATAATAAGTAGTTAAATGAAGACAAATTACTAAAGAGATACTTAAAGGTTCTACTAGAGCTATATACTCTATCTTTATAGCTTTTACGCCTCTAGCCTAAGTAATGTCTAACGGGTCCCTAAGGGCTGGCCTTTACTATCTACAGTATCGTGACACCCGACCTGCTTCGACGATGCTCTTTTAATACGATGCTCCTCGGACCGCGACTCCCTGCCGAGGCCGGTATTCAATTTACGCACATGAATGCATCTTCGTACTGGTAGCGTTGACAGTACCAACATTCGACTTTGAAACTGCTACTACTGATGTCGACACTTTGTTTGCTTGCGGTTGAATCGATATGCTTGCCAAACGCAACTTGCTTCTCTATAATCCATCTCACAACGATTAACACGAAGAATACGGAGCGATCGTTACTCTAATTGTCGCTACACAACATCGCAGCCGCAAACAAAGATAAGTCAACGAGGAACTATTTAGGTTTATACTCTTGGTCAGTCCGACCAAGCACGGCAATAGAGTATTAGAAGAAGCTGTTTATATTCGAGAGACTTCAGCCCGAGGATGTTATTGGCCGAGTCTCGGATAATAAGGATACTTTCATTAGCTACGGTTGCCCTAATCATCATAAAGGGATCAAGAGATTACTTTTCGTTCATTATCACAACAGAGAGCAGGGCACTTACTGACATCTCTTCCATCCGCTTTCTCCGGGATGTTAGCATGAATGAATTTCTCCAAACACATTTTCGCGGGTAGAAGCGGATGGATGTGCACACATAGAGCAGATTTCCTTTAAATGGCACTAGTAAAACATTAGAGTTTTCTCGCAGTGCATTCAGCCACCCAGGCTTCATTGTATGCGCATTTGGAATGGTATGTTAGCGGGTCCTTGTAAAGCTAGATTTCATTTAGCTAACTGTCTTCTAGACTAATTCACCAAGATATATAGCACATAGCGCTTGCGTAAGCTGTCAAGTCTCAATGCAGGTTGAGTCTTCTACCAGTGGTTCGGCTTTGTTGTGATAAGTGGAGAAAGACTACATGTTTAATCTTGATCTAGAACCTGGAGACATGTTCAAATAGTATAAAGCTCTATGGTTGTATTAAGGTCTTGGAAGAAGAGACTTAGTTCTGTTAAACGGGGTGTGTTATGTAGGCTATGGTTCGTTGTTGGTTGTCTTACGGTAGCCGCGTGTTAGTCTATGATGGCTCACCCTTCATACCCGAGCCTACAGTCACTCTTATTCTGGCCTCCATGTTGAAGTGAAAGTTAAACTGAAAGATTAGACAAATGGCTAATGTGTGCGTTCGTATTGTTTCTCTTTTAGCCATATCCGCCTTCAGGAGCGGTAGCTAACCCTGAGGGCCCCGAATACTTTGAGCAATTCGGAGCTTAGAGCAGAGGCTAGGAAGCAGCTTGTAATGATGGGGTGCTCGAAGATGGCTTGTAGCATTGGTTTACGTATGAACAAAGTAGTCGATCAAAATTGGGAAAGTCGAGAGAGAAAGGCTGGCCAACCAGCAAAATTCGTTTCATTGAAAGCATAGGTCTCCACCTAAATGGGAATTGACATTAGTAACGATAAAAGGATCATTTAGAAGAGGATATCCTACATGGTACGCCGAATTCACATTTGCGTATGATTGTAGCGCGTAGCCGTGATTGGGGTGGGCATTCGATTGCAGAGTGAGTTCTGGAATCGAAGTGCCATTTCCTAGTGCACTCAACCGACGTTGGTCGATTCCTGAACTAGGAAACTTCGCCTTTGTCGCAACAAGACGGGCCAAGTTTCCGAAATCTCTGACAAAAAGAAATGCGACAGCGGAATCTGTTGCATAATCTAGATAGCCAAAGTATCCAGCAGCCAGATCGAGAAGTCCAATATCCCGAGTCGACGATTCCGGCAACGGGTTTCAAGAACATGAACAAATAAATTCATTATGCCGATCATTGAGAGGTAAAAGACCAACCTAGAGATTGTTAGCCTGTCAATGGAACCTACATATGCTTTCAGGGTACGTACCAAGCTGGGGCTGTTGAATCAATCAAGATAGATCTATTGAGTAATATGATGCTTCTCGATGCTTCTGCCATCCTGGTGTTGCTGAAATTAACTTAATCTTGCAGGGCTGTGTCGGTTTGATCTGATGGAGAATTGATGTTCCATGGATGCCTGATTATACAATGCACTATGGCAAGAACACTGTGATGCGATAGTTCAATATACATCAGATGGTTGATGTGCAAGCCCAAGGGGGCCTGCGCGCGAAAATCACTGCCAGTCTTGGTTCTGAACGCGAAGGGAACGTTGTTATACCACGTTCGCAACTGCTGATCGTACTGGTGCACTGTCTTCGCGATTTGTTGCAGAGGCTGTCGCCGAGCCTTGGTGGTCATCAAGCCTTGGAGAATGGCCGAGGATATCTGAGCATGCTGAATAGCGCACCGCATGAACGCCAGAATGTTGGGGTTTCCATCAGGTGCTACGGTAGGAAGCTCGTAATCTATGTCATCGTCATCAATTGCCTGTCAGTATGTCAGTCAGATTTTGCGGTATCCGTGGGGCCGGTGATGTACGGATGGACGGCCTGATCGCAACGCGAGATGTTTTTCGAAACAGTAGATGGACCGCAATAGCCAATGGCGTCTGTTATCGTCTTTTCGTATTGATGTGGAATTTCTAGAGCGAAGATGCAGTCCTCTAGGGTTCTCTCAAAGTAAGCTATCATTTGATCAAATCGTAGTTAATGGCGTAAATATCATGGCAAGAGGTATCGGAAATTCTACCCTGTAGAGTAAAGCCAACTCTGGGGAATGATCGGAAGCCCTCGTCTTGTTGATGTTCTTTTGCAGTTGTAATTTTTGATTGATGGCACCAATCATTGAGCTTGCATTGCTCTGGTAAGTCGAGTCCCCGATCCGATCGGTAATCCAACTCAAACCGGGATCAAGACATGGTGAAAGATAAGAAGCTGGACCTGCTTCATTTAGCTGATTGATGAATTTCCCGCCATCCCAAGTGTTGACTGACCATGGTTTTCATCGCGACTAGCCTGGACCGTGTGGTTAGTTGAAAACTACCTGGATAGCAAGGAAGCTTTTCATACCGGTTGTTCAATGTTACGAGTCTCATCCGTTTGATCCAAGACATATGCAGAGCTATGTTGAATTGGGTCGAATGTCGCGCTGGGTCGCGCAGATGAACGACAAGGAGAGAACGGGAACTGCACGGGGATTGGCTGCGTGCTCGTACCAATGTGCTCGTGAGGGTGAGGGCGGGGGCGAGCTTGTTTGGAGAAGGTATCATAGCTGGGATCAGAGTGGTTGATTCCAGGTTGGTTGTGGTCAAGTGGTGGTGGATTGGATAAATTTCCATCGCTCTGAATTGGGCCGGGATAGTTGATATCTGAAATGGTGGGGGTAGTCGACGTGCCTGGTACTACAGTATTCAACCGACTGGCGTCTTCTGCTTCAATACTCGAGAGGGAGCGGGGAGATGGGCGGTGCGAGTGAGAGGGCGAGGGTGGCTCTTGGGCGATGCCGGAAGCTCGAAGAAGAAGATTGGCTCGGTCCAACTGTTGTTGAAGCTGCTGCACCTTGTCTTTGGCCGACCGACGAGGCCTGGGATTGTTAGCAGCGGCGAAGCGGCAGTTGGTGCGTCTGTTCTGTTGCCATGGGCGTCAGTATTCAAATGTACTCCATCAGATGCGGCGGGAGGTGCTAATACCAGACAGCTTCTGCAGGGCCGGTTGCCGTCACACTTGATTTTCTTCAGCCTGCACCTGTCGCAGGCCATGGCGGCCTTTGCTATGGGCCTTTTCCTGCGACGTGATTCCGAGCCAGAATCGTGCTCCGACTGCTGTCCGGTCGCTTGGTCGCGGTCCATTCTCAGGGCGTATGGCCTTGTTGGCCGACTGATAGCTCATGAGCTCAGCGTGCGGGCAAGGGCACGGTTCCGGGCTTGAGGATACTTACTTACTATGCCGATGGTGATGCGATGTTTGTGGTGGTCGCCAGCACTGTACACGCTTGTCGAGGGAAGTTCACCAAGTCATCAACCGTCGTACTTCCTGTCTGCACTTGCACTGGCAACGCCCCCGCTAATATTACTTACCCTGGATGTCCCCCGCATCCTTCCTGTTGGATTTGCCCGCACTCGACTGTTTGGGGCGGATCAACGACATAAACATGGCAGACCGAGCGCGTCATCGCCCGGATCGCTTGCTTCCGAACCGGACCCCGTCTGCCCGTCTCCTTCTTGACCACCCCACACACCCCATTCACCTCTTCATCATGCACGGCCAAGGCAGAATTTGAAGCTGTTTGCGGAGATTCTAATCGGCGCAGACTTTGATTCAGATGACCTCGTCCGCCGGCTCCAGAGCGGCGAGTCCCACGCTAGCATCAAGGAGAGAGTAGAGATTGGCCCTCAGTCCCTGCCAGTCGCATAAGGTTGATGAAAAAATATCTGCTACACCCCTAACTCGATTTGCGGTTGCATGCGCAGCCAAACGGGAGTGTGACCATGACCAAATATTCATCAGCATAGCTTTTTAGGTAGCAGTAGTTCAATGTTACCAAATCATATAGGAGTGTATTTCACCCCCATTTCACTAATAGCTTGATCCGTGAGAAGAGCGTTAGAGTTGAGCTTCTCGAAAAGAACCAATCGAACAGAACGAAAGCCACATCATGCTGCATTGATTGGCTTGTTATTTATTATCCACTTGCTAACTAACATCTGCTGAGCTGTCAAGGGTTTTTAGAAAGATTACAACTCATCAAGACGTCTTCTCCAACCTCATTGTGTTCCTCATCCGTCCTATACCCTCAATATCGATTTCGACAACGTCACCATCACTCGACCATTTAGGAGGCTTCATAAACGCTGCAACTCCACCAGGCGTACCCGTCATAACGACCGTGCCTTTTCGCAAGGTAGTGCCCCGGGTTAGATGACAAATGATTTCCGCTGCAACAAACACAAGGTCGGTCGTACGTGCGTCCTGTCGCACTTCACCGTTGACAAATGTGCGAATGCGGAGTCCCAGCTTCTCATCCACCATCGAAGGATGCAGGATAGTCGGACCGAGAGGGGCGAATTTATCAAACAATTTAGCAGATCCATGCTGGTTTCCCGATCCTTCAGGCATCTGCCAAAAGCGCGAAGATACGTCGTTGCCGCACGTGTAGCCCAGAATGCAGGAAAGCGCTTCTGCTCGGTCCTTGACATTCTTGCAGTCCTTTCCGATGATGAAACTCGGCTCTGCCTACATTGCGTGGTCAACTTTCTTGAAGCGTTGTGCGTTTGGCAATGCTTCCATTGTTGCCTTGGGATCATACCTCGTAGTCTATCAGCTTACATGCATCATTGATCGGGATCTCGTCATAAGGACCGGCCAATGCATCTGAAATATTCTTAGCGTTTTGTCAAGAGACTCGACTCATCAATCACTTACCGGATGACTTGGTGAATATTACAGGATAGTCGCCCGCGGAAAGCTGCAAACAAATGAGCCGGTTGTCCGGTGAGTAATGAAGATATATTACCCCAACTTCGCCTATGTGCGTCTTGTAATTGATCACGACACACTGGAAGATAGGTGTTGCTGGTACCGGGCTTAGAACCTGGCAATTGTCAATTAGTCAGAGACCTTGAACACACTCATTCAGCCTACCTCTTGGATGTTCTCGACCCTTCCATCTCAGCTAAGGGGTTTTCCATCTAGTATTGATGTTGCCCCATATACGGGAACATCAAGTCCAATCAGGTTGTCACGTGTAGCCTCTATTTCGGTTCCGAGCTCGCCATAGAACGTATCTCCGCTTGACGACTTGAATCGTATTAGGCATTGGAAGTTGGGACTCATTGCTGGTAGTACCGAGAATTTCTTAGAAGCAGCTATATGCTTTCGGTATTCGCAGGGTTACGTCGGATTTGTACTCTGGACCTAAAGTTCGATTGCCTGTTTAGTTCAGGTTCATGCGCCGAGCTTATGCATCCGATTCCGGATCTACATGGAGAACAGATACCTCTCCGGGAACAATGTGAGAACAAGGCAGTGCGGAGCCATCTTTTGCTAGTACATCTCTGTTGTCTTTGTGGCTACAAGACTAAATAACAGGTCAAAAATGACGGCCTGAATTTGCCTATTTCTACATTTGGAGGGTCAGAAAGACGTTCAGTCGGCATGCTATTTCGTTGGCTGAGTTCGGAGCTAGAAATTCCTGGTTCGGAACGGTGCGGCCGGAAGGCACTGCGCTAGTAGAAATGGCGCTTTGAAAGCAATATATCGCTAAGGTGCGTCCTTGGATGAACAGAAACCCCCCACTACGAGACTGGTTTAGGGTTCGGGCCTTCGGCTCCTCCATTCTGGTGATATGTAGAGCTGCTCTTATCCAAATCGCTTATACCGATGTCAATTGTAAAAGACTTAATTTCCTTGTCATGAAAGCATCTTGTTTAGTTGAGAAAAAAATTGATTTGGATTTTTAGTGGATAGTCTAGGGTACTTCTAAGAGTAAGAATTAAAAAGAATGGGAAAAGAAAGATGGGAAGGAGAACATGAATGTCTAGCTACAAGTATAAACGTTGTAATCGAAGACCTATTCTCTAACACCATCATAAGTAATGTCATCAACACACTAAACTATACGTTGTTATAGTAATATGTATTTAGATGTGAATCGGGTTGCAGCTGATGTTAATAACACCCTATAATGTTAATGTCAGCGAAGATGAAGAACGATATTAGAAAGATTGTATTACCGTCTGCTCAGACTTGTTGCAGCAAACTGACTGCTGAGAGCACATCCTGTTGAGCGGAACAAGGTTGCGGAAAATAGCAACAGTGACATCGTTGCACTGTCCAAGAAGATTCTGCAGGTCGGCAACGTCGGCATCGATAGGAAAAACGGACTTTTTGCTGGTTGCCTTCTCGGCGGTCTCGTTGTTGCAGCAGTAGACTTCGGCGTCGCCACCACACTGGTTTTTGATGGCCTTTGCATCATGGCCGCTGGGGGTGTTCTGAGGGGCAGCAGCGGCGACAGCCACAATAGTGAGGAAGATAACCTTGGCGAGCATCTTGAAAGTTGATGTAATGGGTTGGTATTGGAGGAAAGATGGAAGACTGAAGTTTGTAGTACTGAATCGAGTACGAAAGTGGTCTTGATTGTTGTAGTAGTTGTGATTGATGAGGAGGATGTTGATGATGGAATGTTCGTGTTTAGGTAGCTGGAACTGGAGGTATATATACGTGATTAAGAGAAGCAAGATTCAAATCAGATAGGACACGATCGATCGATGGGATTCAGGAGATTCCAATCAACGGAAGCTACTTCGCAAGGCTACAGTAGAGCAAGAGAGCACTGATCAAACAAAGTAAGTCAAAGGGACATTAACCAAGGGTTCAGGAATGAGCGTGTTGCATGTGTTCTAGAGGCCTGTGCATCATGGAAAACATTTTTTTTTGGCTAGCACAATCCGCTAAGCTATGGTCATGATCTCTAGGATTTCCAGAACATACAAGGCATGAAATAAAATCTACGCACACCTCGTTCTGAATTTGTTCACCTCATGTGACATCTAACTAGGTGTTCAAACAAGGGCTAACCGTTGTGCAAGTACAGAAATGCGACCTAGTAAAGGAACGTTTTAACGAGAGTTTAGTTCATTGTCTCTCCGGGGTGGATTGATCGTGATCTATGCTAGCGAGCGCTATGGCTCTTTACTTGCTATTCACGCGCTGCACCTAATTGGGACACACAGGTAAGCCAAAACCCCATTCAGCATCACGCCAAGCTTTGCACGACCTCGCCATAAGAAACTAAAAAAAATAAGAAAGCACTCAACAAAGCATTGAACTTGACCGCCAAAACGTCGGTTCCCGTACGGTTTGGGCTGTTGGAATAGATGGTGTGCATCACGGGAATCTGTGCACACCCTGCATGGCCGCGGCTGTACCCAGTACGTACCACTTCTCAACAGTATCATTGACACGACTGTGTTACCATCACTCATTCGGAAGTCAAGCGGCTCCTCCTGCAGGGATGTTATGCAAGGAATCTACTTTCGAACTGGTCAAATGGAAAAGCACACTTCGATTGCGAAAGTGGTTTATCACTAAGTACGCAGTTTTACGCTCTTTCACCGTTGTCGGGTCTGGTCATGGCTAGTGAATAGCAATTTGCAGTTCAGCCTTCGCTACGACCATATATGCGCCGCTACTCTAACAATTTTGGGCAACAGTATTACCGTACGACCTACGCAATGCTCTAATGGCTGACACCTACGAGATTGGATGTATACATGCATTTTCAGCCTGGTCGCCATACCGGTGAATAGGAGCTAGCTTGGTTTCCAGAAAGAAAAAGCAAATGAAAAAGCAATGCTCAGAAAAAAAGGCAATCAACAGGCGAACAGAACATCGGAAATAAGCATGAGCCGTTAGCGCAATTAATTACCGACTTTGGCCTGATAGCAAGGTCCTTTGCTTGAGTATCACCATGCAACCTGTACCCAAGATATTGCTGCTATTCCTGATGCTAAAAAGGTGTTTAGAGGCAAAGCTAGCGAACAGAACTGATGAAGACTCATCAAAGACTCCAAAAGTCGTCACCCATCGGCTCCTATGATGGTAGTTGCTGTTTCATCCCATTGGGATCCAGAAGCAAACACCATGACATGGCCATACCCTCCCTCTTGAACCTAGCTAATCTTCTCCAGTTCCGCTCGCCGGAAGGACATTCAAATGCGTAGACTCCAAGCTCCTCAACTAGACCCAAAGAAGTAATAAAATGCAATATAGTAAGAGTACGCATCTATTTGGCCGAGGTAGTGCCCGACAGCTGTCAGCAAATAAGGAAAACCTGATAAGGATTGGAAAGAGCCGATACCCGAGATACAAAAAAAAGTAGGTTACATGATAACATGGAGTCAAGCTTCACTTCCGTCGCTTCATATCGACGTAGATTGGCAATCACAATCGTGAAACGGGTCTTCAGTCATTGATCCTGTTACGCATTTGAAGAGAAAGAATAACGGAAACGATTGTGTCTATGAAGGATAAGCGGGCCGACGGGTGTCTTGAAACCACATGGACGCAAGTAGAAGGCCGAAGTGTGGCCAGCAGTGCAGCGATACGTGCACAATGAGTTGGCTAAGCAAGCAAAAATGGAGCCTAACGCGCTTACTGTATGTGCATCTAACGATGATCCGACATACAGTAATTTGAACCTGTTGTCGAGTAGGTTGGCAGATCGCTTCGTGCCGTTCACAGTTAGGCGTGAAGAGGTAGTGCGACTGTGGTTTGAGAAGTTGACGTAGGCGGTCTTAGCTATGCTGATTGTGCTCAAGAATGTTGGGCCACTTGTAGTAACTGCTTCACTGCCAGCTCTCTACGCTTGCTCAAAGGCTGTGTCTAAGCCGTTCTTAGGTCGGGAAATACCGATATACCTTGGAGGGTGATGTTCAAGCATAGGGCAGTTGCGACGAGCTGGCCAGACAACGTGGGAGCTATCGAGATTAACGCTATAGCCAGCAAGCATGCAGATCCCACTCCTCTATTGCCCCTCGACTTTATCGTAGATCTGATCGTATGTCTTGAGATGATAAGTTCCGCAGAGACAGCAAGTGAATCTCGTGAACTTGATCAGATAGCGGAGCACTGTCCTGACGACCAACAGATATAGGAGAACAGAGTTCTTGTTCCGCTGCAACTGTAGCCTTTGTAACTAGATCTGATCTTATGATTTAGTGAAGGAAAGATGGAGGGATGGCAGAATTGGCTAGCCTGTCACGTGCGCTCATGACTCGCGCAGCCTGATATAGTCCTACCAATGATTGCCCGACCGCGCGTCATTGGCAGCCACGGCTCTGCTTACACTGAGCTGTCGCATGTATGCGCGGAGGACGCCTCACACCTGACTTTGTGAGACACAGCCCACTGTCGCTTGGTTGCCCTAGGGTCACAGCGCGCCAGCTACACGGCAGCTCCTTTCGTCTCTCAACTAACTCATCCTCTAACTACAGCCTGGTGCAATTCATTATGGGCCGATACACCAACATGGACAGTGTAAGCCACCAGCAAGCCCCTCTAACATTCCACTATCACCCCGCAACTGACAACAAGACAGGACGCCGAGCGCCTCCCCTCTGGCTTTGAGCGTATAGGCTATGACGCCGACACGCAAACCTACACCTTTCGCGATGCAGGTGGCATCATGTACGAGTCGGAGCCTGGAAATCGTTACGGCGAATTGCACCATGTTGATTCGCAATCATCGTCGCAATCATCGCGGTCCGTGTCTATCCACCTGCTCGACAACCGCAATGGGCGGCCCTCGCGCACTTTTGATGAAATGTTCAACGATCATCAAGACGCAATAAGCAAGGACAACAGGGATGCGGTGCGTATAATGCTGCCATTCGCGCTCATAGTACTGGTCTTTTTGATCCTGGTGTTCAAACTGTTGTATATGGGTGATGCTCGGTCACTAACTCCTGCCAAAGAATCACGCGATTGTCATCAAGGCAGTCATGAAGTTCAAATTAAACAAGGAGATACGTGCTGGGCTATTGCCCAAACTAGTCACATCACTGTGGAAGAATTACTAGGGTTGCAGGGCAATGCGCTTGTGGATTGCGATCGGTTGTTGCCAGGCAAGAGCATTTGTGTGCCTGCGTAGAGAGATGGTATCACATCAGATTGTTCTTAACTTATACAGTCTTATCACACTAGGATCAATGAAACACAGAGTCAACACTAGGGTGCCAAAACTGATAGATCTGTACATGTACTACGCTGCATTGAAGTCGAGACGTGTACATGCTATCGCACGTTTGGTAACCGAGACAAATGCGTTTAACATTCGTTTATCGTGGACATAACCACTACAAAGCGTATCCGGCAGCTCATGCAGTCATGCTGACTCTAAGGCGTGACCCATTTCATTATCGAGCTGAGGATAGATGAAACGCCACACTTGTGTCCTAATTAGGCGTCCAGCACAGCCACTGGCACCCTGTATCTCAACATCAGGTAACCTAGCCTCGTTGCCGGTCGTCACATCAATCCGACTACTTACATCCACCCACTCGCTGCTTGTATCTTGTTCATAGCAACGCAAAGAAGGCAACGAGGGATACATTGCAACTTCACCACATTGGACCGTCGTCTCAAGATGCTGCCACCAAAAGGGAAGAACAAAGCAGCTAGCATATGGTCCGTTGACTCGGGCTATGCATCAAATACTCTGGACGAAGAAGATGGTAGTTATGTATTTACCCCAGAGTTGACACATCCCCACCAAGCGATTGCTGACACTACTAGATGGACTTTACCGCGAGTCCCGCAATCAGCAAATCCTCGTCATCCTTGTCGCAGAAAAGTTTCAGCTTGGAATTTGGTGATTTCTTCAAGGTCCATATTGAAGATCAGCTCCGCCTGCAAAAGCCAGATTCTCCATCGGCGCCAGTGACTACCAAGCTTAATGTGTTTACGACAAATATGAGAGCAAGTCACGATCTCCAGTCACAGGCGGCTAGCGTCAATGAAGAGTGCGTTCTATGCGCACTTTGGGATATTACCACTCCCGGAGAAAACCTGAAATGCGACGAATGCAGTCGAAAGCTGACAGCCGTGTTCGGTGCTACGGAAAGATCAGGACTTTTGCAAACTTCAGAAGCCGAACAGGAATCGATGCATATCGCAGCCCAAGTGGAAGAGCTTGGCGCATTACAGCAACATCATCTACCCACCAAAGTTGAGGAAGGGCAACATTCAACATATCGTATCGTGGATCCTATTAGTTACGATCAGACTACCACCTCTTCTTCCTACAGTCCCGATATAGGCACTTCTTACCCTGGATCTCCAAACGTCCCTTGCGAAGCTAAACGCTCTTCCATTCAACGGCCTCCTACAAAACTTGAGTCACATGCTCTGCGGCGCCTGAAATCATGGATAAGAGATAACAGCAGTAATCCGTATCCTGATGCTGATACCAAACGTGCATTGGCTCAAGAGTGTGGAATCACAGAGAAGCAGGTGAATACATGGTTCACGAATGCTAGAGCAAGACAAAGATTTTTACGTCATGCAGAGAGTTCACTTCCACACTCAAAAGTAGAGAAAAGTCTAACAACCCGCCTCTCAAAGGTCAAAGTGTTGCCAATACCTGAAGGCTACCGAACTCTAGAGGAGATCCACCATTCCGATCACGACTACGATCCAAAAACTCCAAAATCATCTAGGCGAGGCAAAAAGAAAGACTACAGTCATTTCAGTACAGTATCTCCAGTTTCCAACGTAACCCTAGCCATGTCTTGTACCCAAGTAAAAGCAAAGACCTCAATGAGAGAAAGTACGCCAAACATGTGGCAATGCACATTTTGTTATCAGTTTGTAGCGCCAAAGTCCTGGCGTCGTCACGAGGAGACTCAGCATCGACCAAAACGGAAGTGGACCTGCTTACACACTGGCCCGAGCATGATCGTTTCTTCCCATTCCACTTCTTCCACATCCTGCGTTTTCTGCAAGCTTCACAATCCTAGCAAAGACCATCTTCTCCACTCTCACCGTATCGGTGAATGTATTGCCAAGGCCGAAGAAGATAGAACATTCTTGCGACCAGATCACCTCCGGCAGCATGTAAAGAATTTTCACCAGGCATCTCTGACCGATGCTGTAAGAGACTTGTGGAGAACAGACGGAGTGCGCAAAGATGGCCCAGAAAAATGGACCTGCGGGTTTTGTGCTCGTGAAATGACAGCATGGGATGCGAGACAAACCCACATCGCGGCACACTTCAAAGACGGATTGACAATGGCAGACTGGAAATCACGTCCTCAGCTTGAAAATACAATTCACACCAGTAAGAAGCGGCCAATATCAAGTGAAGGACAATCAAATATGTTTTCCAAATTCGCCAGGAACTTGACGGGTCTAAGCGCACGGCAAGAGGGGCACGACATGTCACAGAGCAGATTGGTATCAACTTTCGAGTACACAACCGAGGACGTGCAGCCAGGAGTACCAGTGGAACCCGATTTGACCTTTGACAACTTTACCACTGCGATATACAATAGTGAGTTCGATTTCGGCAGCGCAAGTATGATGGACTCGTCTGAAGAAGAGAGCGCATCAAAGGATTTTGAGACATTATACCCTGTTGGTGACAACGGTTTGTGGATGAATTATGACGATCTGGGCAGTCTTTCGTGCAAAGACGAGTATGATAGTTTCCTCGATTTTTGGTAGCGATGTATCTGGAGCCTGGCAACACATACAAGCTCATTCAATATGCATGTATACATCCCTGGTCTTTCGGACGCCTAGTCGTGAGAAACTTGCTGTGAGCTGAGACATCACGTTTTCGTCAAAAGACGTAGTGCTATTCAGGCGACTGATTGACGGGATGAAGTTGTAAGGTGTCGAAACTGCAGCTACGTCGTAGCTGCCAGCCTGACGGGTGATGGTGCAGTTAAATATGCGGGATTTGCCGAACACTGGGGCTGTAGACGGCGTCGTCGCTTACTACTAGTACGTACACTCCTAATCCTACAGCCAGCCCCATCGACTTCCCTCAGCTGCCTCTCAAAAGTATCCTCTGCTCAATTTGCCAACACCAATCACGCTACCCAGCAAGATAAGCAACACTGCAATCATGATCAATACAGACGTAGACAGAAAGGTTGATTTGTGTCCAGCATGCAAAGCGCTTGACGAGAAATTCAGTACGCCACAACATGGACATACGCAGGTCGTGCACTTTCTCAAAAACTCCTTACACCAAGACTGTGTGTCATGCAAGACACTTTCTGATTACTTCTCTTCCGATAAGCTTGTCGTGGCTCTTTTTCACAATGGGCCAGAGGATGACGAAACGCAATCAGCGTCTTCAGAAGAGTTGGTTGAGCCATGTGCTGAGTCGACAAACACGAAACCCTTGAAACAGATCCTTATGTGGGACTCGGCTGATGCAACACATGACCATACATTCCTCCCGGCGGAAAGTCATATACCAGGGCCTGGAAAGTATGCGTCAGCGGACCTGATCCAAGCTAAGCAATGGCTCGAGAGTTGTAGATCAAACCATGCTTCTGATGACGCAGGTGGAAGGACATGTACAGTTCAGCCAGTGATCATGAAGACACCGCTGAGAATCATCGACTGCAGTACATTACGGGTAAGAGAGCTAATGCCTGGCGAGTCTTATGCGTGCTTGAGCTATGTCTGGGGTAACGTAGCTCCTGCAAAAGTTGCATTCGGCTCGCAAATAGACCCTGGAAGTATTTCAAAGACCACTTCGGATGCCATATATGTGGCTAAGAAGCTAGGGGTCCCCAGACTGTGGGTCGATCAGTAAGTAGTCTCCTCTATATCTTATCGACGTTAAGCATCTACTGACGCTGTGTGCTTAAAGATACTGCATCGTACAAAATGAATCCATTGCGAGGAACAAAGCGATTGCATCAATGAATCTGATCTATGGTGGGGCAGAAGTCACTATTGCAGCAGCATCTGGCATAGATGCTTCACATGGTCTACCCGGTGTTCTGGGAACAGATCGATCAGACCTGATACACGGATCTGTCACTTTAGGGAGCCGACAATTTGTCGAAGAGCCCGTCCAGAAACAGCTGGAGCAATCGCATTGGAACAGCCGAGGCTGGTAATTGATCATTCAACGTTCCTCTGTGAAGCAAACACTGATTTTGAAATAGGACCTTCCAGGAAGCTGTGTTGTCGGTGCGTCTCCTCGTGTTCACTGATAGACAAATGTATTTCCAATGCAACAAAGCTCATCATCTCGAGCACTACAGAATCGAAGACCCATTAAGCGGACAACGCATATTTCTCTTTACAGGAACAGATCTTCAGCCTCTAGCAACCTTCCCACTCCTAACAGAGTACTTTCCCAAGCAACTTTCATTTGCCAAGGACAGTCTCAAGGCTATAGAGGGAATTTTGGAAGCCTGCGGTAAAGATGCATCGGGGCCATATCAATGTCGACACTTTTACGGCATTCCTTTGCCTTATTTTACGGATGGCATCACGGGAGAGATATCCTTCTCCGCGCAGGGTCTGGTTTGGTGGACCTCGCGTCAGAGCACGGAAACTGAAGTGAAAGAAACCCTAGCTCCTGATGAGTCTGGACTACCTTCGTGGACTTGGGCATCGCAAAAGTCAAGATCTAGATCTTCTATCATGACCCTAGATTTCTGCAACCTTGACGCATCATGGTTAAATTTTCAAGACCTGAGGCTCCACATCACGAACAGGCATGGGGAAACGGTTGACGTTTTCGATTTTGTCACGTCATCTCTTCCGGAACATTATTCAAACTACTTCCCTTGGATTGATGTCACTTCATGGATCGTTCAGAGTCAGATCACTACGTCGGATCTGGGATATTCCAAGACCGTCTTTGGTGGCATGGGAAATTCAAGCTTCGAATTTGACGAAGGCGTTCCACAGAATGATGAGACAATTACGGCGATATTGATAGGTACCGGTGAAGCCTGGTCTGACAGCACAGACTCAGATAATGGTCTTGTCTTCCTTCTTATACGTCCGACTACGCCGAATACATTTTCTCGCGTCGGATTATGGTATCTGTATGAGGAGGCCAAGGTCCTTTCCCTCGAAGAGGTAATGGCAGATCCAGAGCCTACACTTCTCAAAAGATTTACGGAGGATCCGGAGAGATATCTGAAATCATGTTGGCTAAGCCACGGCGTTGTGGTAGAGAAAAGGACGGTGAGACTAGTTTGAATAGATGTCGAGATATCCATGTACATCCAGAAGTGAGAAGATCTGGATCCAGTACCATATCCGTTCCAAGTCTATGGTAACTAGGAAAAGTTCTCGACAAGCATGCTTTTCAAATATGTCAACACGGGTTAAAAGGAGTTTGGGATACGGCTAAACAGTACACAGGCTTCAGTGTTCCTGAACAGCGTTGCCGTGGCTTCAAGATCTACCGGATATTTCTTCTACCATATCAAGCACATATATCATACAGGGCACAAAGCCTCCATAGCGTCTTGATTGGGGTCTTCCAAATGTACATAATGATGTAGACAAAAACGTCAGCCAATATACTAATTTGCTGAACACGGTATCCGTTGAGCATGAGCTATCCCCGCAAAAGCGAGTACCCCCACGAAAGAGTGGGATGGCTGCTCAAGGTTTTCCGTCCATGCATGCACATGCAAGAACATGATCGTCACCGGGTGAGGCCAATCAGTTCACGGCCCATTCAACAAATCAGAAGCACGAGGTGACCTCCCGTGCTGCAGTGACGGGACCAGTATCGTGGGTCAGCGATGCAGACTCACAAGTCGGGCACAATACTACCCCTCACTGCCCCGCGTATGCATGTGCAATTGGGCAATTTGCGTGTCATCAAGCTCAACAAAAAATCACCAAGAGTGTATAAAAGGATGAAAATATTGCTGCAGAAACTTTCTCTGACCTCAGCTTGAGTATACCTTTTCTGACCATCCATAATCACGACACCATTTTATTGGTACGATGCCGCCATCGAACCAGCAATGCGAAGCCCCTGGGGTCTCGCTCCTCGCACCTTAGGATATTCTCTCGGTCAAGTAAAACAGATGCCTATACTGTGCATCGTCAGGTACCCATCTCAATCCATCAGAAGCAAAGCATGGCGGGTGTTCAAGCCATTAGTGATCGGTACGTCGTATCGATCACTGATGGCTTGTTCTGAGATTATACCGTTTAAACTTGATCTGGATAATTCCAGCGCGAAGGACTGTTGCTGCTTCATGATGTCCCGTTTCCCACTGTTGTGTTGGGATTGCTGACTAGCGTAGAAGAACATTGCATCGGTAAACCAAAGTCAAGATGTCGACGGATAAGATTACCTTCTTGACCAACTGGTGCGCTAAATGTTCAGCTTTTACTATGAGAGAACAGAATACTGAAGAGTAGGTCAGGCACGCTACGCCATACCATGCGCCTGTGTACCTTGCTCAGAGCAAGGGATACTTCAAAGACGAAGGCGTCAAAGTCGCTCTCCTTGAGCCCAACGATCCAAGCGTACGATTAACACTACATAACTTATTCTTCATCAAATACTCAACATAAAAACCAGGATGTCACCGAAATCATCGGATCAGGAAAAGTCGATCTAGGTTTCAAAGCCATGATCCACACGCTCGCCGCCGCCGCGCGAGGCTTCCCCGTCCAATCCATCGGCTCTCTGCTCAACGAACCCTTCACCGGAGTAGTCTACTTGACATCCTCTGGCATAACCAGCGACTTCAGCACGCTCAAGGGCAAGAAGATCGGCTACGTAGGCGAATTCGGTAAAATCCAACTCGACGAGCTGACAGCCCACTACGGTATGTCGCCCGGCGACTACCAAGCTGTGCGCGTGGGCATGAACGTGACACGGTCCATCATCACAGGCGAAATTGACGCAGGCATCGGTCTCGAAAATGTGCAAATGGTGGAGTTGGAAGAGTGGCTTGTATCGCAGAACCGAGCCCGCGATGAAGTCCAGATGCTGCGTATCGACGAGCTGGCTCAGCTGGGCTGCTGCTGCTTCTGCTCCATCTTGTACATTGGCAACAATGCTTTTATCGAGCGCCACCCCGATGCCGTCCGCGCTTTTCTCCGCGCATGCAAGCGCGCAACGGACTTTGTGCTTGCGCAGCCAGAGCAAGCGTGGGCTGAGTTCTGTGCATCAAAGACGGCCATGGATACGCCGACGAACCGCAAGATTTTCGAGCGCAGCTTTGCGTACTTTAGCCCAGACTTGCAGAATGTGCAGCGTGATTGGGACAAGGTTACGCGATATGGGAAGAGGCTTGGTGTGCTTGATGAGGCGTTTACGCCAAACTATACAAATGAGTATCTGGCTTGGGGACTGCAGGATGAGGCTGAGGATCCCGTGGGCGACCAGAAGAAGATGGTTGAGCTGCAGGAGGGTGTCAAGCAGAATGGCGGGTTCAAGCGTCTGGAGAGTATTGCTGGCAAGACGGTAGTTGGGGCTGCAGCTCCGGCTTCTGCCTGAGCAAATAAGTTGGCATTAGTCCATCTGTGTTGATCTGGCGCTTCACTCTTTTGCGTCTTTCACGGTCAGCGAGAAGACCAATGATGGTACTGCAAATTAGTCGGTCGTTGCGAAAATAGTCACTCGTTTGCTTTGACTCCTTCTCACAAACTGCCATAGTTTTACAGCATCAGAATTGTGACCCTGCTACGCTTCCACTTACCTGATAGAGTCAACCCGTTACCATCAAATCATGCACAGCAAGAACACGATGTGAGAAGATAGCAGGCAGAGATTAAGTGAAGAGATAAGACTTCAGTATTGCATCTCATCTTATATGTCCTTGGACGAGGAGTCTAGAGGACGTCCATCTAGCACTTCTGGCTGTGCCGCCTCCGGCATGTCCGACGGCGGAATTGATGTGGTATCCTCTCCTCCATACTGCACTTCTACTGCAGAGGCATTGTCCGCTGAGACCTCATCTTTCACACGGCTCGCCTCCCCTATCACTGTGTCCTCCGGTGCACTGGGATACTCCGCAATGCGTTCTTGCAAATCCTTCTTTATCATCTCCTCCCCTACATCGCCCGCTTCGTTGGAAGCTTCGCCCAAAATTCCCGATCTTCTCATTTTTCGTGCACTGGCAGGATACCTCGGGCGCGCCTGCCTAGACACGGGCGACGTCTGCGCGCTCGCATCTGTTATCAAATCGGCGATATCATAGCATCTCTTGACAAATGCCTTGACAGTTGCCTCGTCGCGTAATTGAATGTCACCATGGCCGTCGTAATACGCCATCAGTTCGCCACCCTTTGCGTTTAGTTTGCTCGATTGATTGGCGCTGAAGGCGATGTTTTGACCCAATAGTGTGCCTGAGACAGCCTGTCGGAACTCGACACCAGAAAAGTGATATTTAATCTTAGCCATGCCATTTTCTTCAATCGAGCAGCCAGGTATGGTCCACCTGGGAACGTCAATGCTAAGCGGCGGCGCGGTAATACGTCCGCCACTCGAAATACTTTTTGCGGCAGCGATAACCCATTTATCTAGGTTGGCATCATTGTGATCTTTGGTCATTCTCAAACTCCCGTACTGGTAGAACTGAAGGTCGGCCGCTTTATTGGGAAGCGACACGGTATGCATATGCTGCCAAAACCTCATGCTTACTCTGCGGAAATAGGCTCTGGCACCGTGGCGATCTGTACCCATCTTGATTTGAAGTGTGGGAAACAATTGGCTGGAATCAAAGCCGTCCTGCTCGGGATCGGGTCGGAAGTGGTAGTATAGAGTCGGAACCTGCAGGCGCGTAGTAAGGGAGATATCTGATGATGTAAAAAGAGAAGAAAGCCCTGGGAAAGTAGACACAAAATGGGGTTGGAAAAATTGTTTGGGTGTATTGGCCTCAGCTTTGGTGGCATTTGCATGTTCCAGAGGCACCAAGGATTGACCAAATTTGACATAGAGCTTTCGGAGCGGTTCAGAAACCCAGCTGCCTAGCTCTTCCATGGGAGGAAATTCGTCGGAAGCAGACCGAAGAATAGTGGCTGCAGTCCTATCTACTAGACCTTGAACTGTTGCCTTGGATGACTTGGGGGCCTCGACTGACTCTTCTGTACCTTCTATAGATTCAGGCCCAGAGATTCGTGGGAGAGGCACTGATAAGCGTCCAAGCGGAGTATTACGAGTCTTGTAGCTCAATAGGCTTTCATCCACGTACACGGGTGCTGGGTAAATTGAAGTTGCTGCAGAGCCCAGGTTCAGCATATCCGAAGTGCGGGTGATGCTGTCCCTGAAAGGCAGAAAGTTGATCAAAGATCGCTTTGCCTCTTCGATAGATGCATTGTTGAATCCCCTAATTGTAAACTGCTCAGAATTAGCGAGTGTAGGCACCAATGTCAAGGGGCGACTTGCCAAGTTCCTTGTAGTACCCGCTATACTTGTCTTGGTGAGTGCTGAAATGACATCCCGATCTTTTTGTGAAAAGAGCGTGGTCATATCTAGAGGTTGGTCCCGTGGTATCATATTGGGGTCCAGCAGACGCATGTAATTTTTGAGGTTCATCCGTTTGACCTCTGTACGTTGCAAAGCCTCTTCCACGTCATTGGCAGCGTACTCTGCTGTACTTTTGTCGGCGGTGATGCGAAGAATGTCATGCTGCTTGTAGATTTGGAATTTGACCTTTCTGATTAGTGCGATTTCATCAAGTACATTGTGTTCTTCAACAAGGGTTAGTGGGTATTGTGATGGTGATACAAGCTGGAAACTGACCTCCAACAGTAAGCAGTGTCATCTGCCACGGCTTCAGGAAGAGTTCGAGCTCGCCAGGCTTCTCGATTTCTTCAAGAAGCACGAGATTCCACTGGTCGCGGAGGATGCGGTCTACAAGCAGCTGCTTGCTGACATTCTTGCGCCATCCCATAATTTTGACATGGCGGTCGACTCCAGGCAAACGTTGTGTGATGCTTGTAGTGCCTGGTTGCCACTCAGAGCGCTCCACCGGAAGCTTGGGATCATCCTCGTCTCGCTTCAGGCTATCGATGACACCTTGGTTGACCTGCCCCCGCTTGATGTTTTTTGCAACCGAGTAGAAAGTCATCAACTGTTGCTGGGTGAAGCCGTCCATCAGGAGATTTTTCAACTTGAGAAACGTAGTCTGTTTGACATAGTGCGGCTCGTTAGGATCGCCATGTTGCGTTGGACGCAGACTGCCAATTTGTTGATAGATTTCCTCGGGCGTGACTGCCTTGCCCTCTTGTTGCAGCGAGGCAAAGATGTCGGGAACTTGGACGGGATCAGAAGACTCAATGGTTTCGGGCTCCTCGTCGCCTTTCTCCGCTAGTACATCTCCGAGTTCTCTGAGCACCAGGATATCGGCTTGGTCGCCTAGCTGCTTGATTCCTCCCAGGCTTGTTGTGGTCTCTTTGATAATCTTGCCCTTTCTCCTCCGGACCCGGTTTAGCGGCTCGACTACTTTAGTAATCTTGAACTTCGGACTGTCCAACTCGGAGACGGCGTCCTTTGTTTCTGCGCCATCGTCATGCAGGCGAGCAGAGGCAGAAAAGGTGGCGCGAGGGATGCGGCGGGGCACGGCGGGCAGTCGTCGGCGGGCGATTTGCGCTTCACAGCGGAGGCATACAAATGCACTGGAAGCACGGGGCGCAAGCATGAAGGACGACGAGGCAAGGCTGAGGTTCAATGCTTGTTGCAGCGTGTGGTGCGCAAAGTGAAATGCGTCCATCAACTTTGGCCACCGCCTAATAATTCTGCCGTCGCGCCTTCACGTGCAAGGCGCGTCGTCCTAGCTTTGTGCTAATAATGCTTCTTTTCACATGTCCGTCGTTGCAAAGGCAAAAAGATTGAAGAGAAAAAAAAGATGCGCAATTACAAAAGTCTACTGTTTTCTACAATGGAACATCACGTCGGCCGATGCCAGCTGACCAGGTCTTCTCGCAGATCAAACTCATTGACCTCTTGGACCGGTCGCTGTCGTTGCCGCGCCGCCTCGGCCTTCGCCTTCAGGTGCGATGCCCGCTGTTCCAAACTTTCCCGGCCTCGCACGTTTGGCGAGCGGAGTGGTTTCATGTCCCCGGGTCGCAGCGTCTCATGCGACTTACGACTGATGCTGCTGCCATGCATGTGCCTCGATCCGTTTTCACTTACAGAGCTGCTGCCGTCACCTGCGAAGCGCAACGATTGCTGAGCCCGTGTTT